ATGCCAGCAGCAATGCACGAAGCCTCCTCGCTGTGCACAGTTCTAGAGCCTCAGCGTGCATCAGAATCACGTGGGGGCTTGCTCCAACACAGGTTGCTCACCAGGGACTTTCTCAGAGGAGACCTGGGGTGGAGACTAAAATTTGATTTTATAAGAGAATTTCAGGTGCTGATGCTGCTGGTATGAAGACAACCCTTGGAGAACTGTGTCCCTACCTGGCAAAGGCAAGAAGCACACTAGGAATCTGGTGCAGCCCGTGAGTAGGATCTAGGGTGCATCTAGAACCCAAGGGTATACAGGGCTTACTGGGCACCAGCTCCCCCAATAATGCATGGACTTGGCGCAGACATTACTATAATCAAATGCACATCTTCTCACAAGCATGCTGTGCTACTCAGCCCTTGGGAGCCCTTTTTCTCCCCTTAACTAGAAAAGCTATCCTGATCCATGCTTCCACCTCTGCAAATATGAATGTTCTTGGAAGCTCCTCTACCTTGACTTACCCTTCTGGAGCAGCATGGCCTTCAATCACCACCTGAGCCTGGAACTGGGCCAGATTCCTCAGTCTTCATAAGATCTGTGATTTGGGCTAATGAGCATTGTGCCAAAGAAGCCCTATCTGAAGCTAATGCTGGACCTCAATTTCTTTCTCTCCATTCTTTCTAGTTTTTTACTTGCTACTAATAATCCTATGAAAACCATGACATTTCACCCAAAGGTTGAGAGGGAAGGGAAATTAAGGAACAGAAGAAAAGACTTTCTTACCTGGGGGACCTTGGAAACCAGGGGGCCCCATCAATCCAGGAACCCCTGGATATCCCGGAGGTCCTGGAGGTCCATAGCAGTCGACCTGATCATTGAAGACATTCACCAGGAGAACAGATATGGCCAATCTCCACACATCTAGAACAAGAAGCAAAGAAGAATTATTTACTAACAATCTGTGTGGGTAGAATTAAAGCTGTGTCAACCAAAATAACTTCATACATGTTTGGGTTCAAATGACAGCTGTACCTCTTATCAGTTTATGTTAAACCCTACATTGTAGCTGGCCCTTTTTGTTAACTTCTTTATCATGAACCACCACCCTGGAATTCAGTTATGACTATATTCAAGATTGTTAATCTCTGTTCTTATGCATATCTTTGTCAGATAATAAATACTTAAGAAATAGTGTTGAACTATCGAGTGAATAATCATTAATACAGGTTACTAGTTATTGTTTATCATGCTCAGAATACAATGCTAGAAACATTATTTCATCGAATTTTTATTCAAGTTTGGTAAGTGATGAGCTCTTAACCTATAGTTAAAGATAAGGAAGCTGAGATCCCCAAATTTATAGTTATCAATGCCAAACAAGAAAACCAGAAAGAACAAGAGGTAGGATTTGAATCCTAGTCTCAGTCCAGCCATTATTCCAGGGAATTTTAAGTGAATTAATGGGTATACGTGATCCTGCTTCTTGACATCTCAAGATGCTAAGTTAGAGGTTTTTAAAATTTGCTTGTCTTTGTTTTGTTCTTTACTTTTCTCAAACAAACCTTGTGTTTAAACAGGGAATATAAAGCAGAGTGGACTATCATTTACTCCCATGTTTTCCTGTTCCCCAGATCAGCAGCCCCCAAAATAATGTGTAGAGAATAATAGGGTTATCAACATTATCCACATTGGAGTTTTCGGTCCCTATTAAGACTGGCCATTTCCAATCCACCTCCTTCCAAGGACTGGAAGATTGGATCACACCCTCCCACCACTTGCATCACAACCCTACTGTCCCTACCGGTCATTCTCAGGTAGAAAGGCCAAGTTCTCTTGGTGGGCTTCTTCCAGTACAAAAGGTTCCTGTGTTGCTTAGCTCAGGAGCCTGAGGCTTGGGTCCCTGTGAGGGCTTCCCTGTAGCAAGGACTCTTAAAATGTTCTGCAATAATTTCTTCAATATTGAAATATTTTCAGAAGGTCCAACCTGGGTCCACATCAAGGTTAATGATTAACCCAAAGCAGGACCTTTCCAGACTTTGGACAGGAAGATGGTAACATCTTGGTCAACCCCAGACTTTCCATCTGGAATGTCTGTAATGAAAACTAGCTGTGATAGGTAAAACCCAGCCTCCAAGCATAGATGATAGTAGTTAGAACCCATTCAAGAGACCCACTGACAATATATGGTATTCTTGACAGCTGTGGAGAGTGGATGTTATTGTTCTCACCACAAAAATAGCCACGAGTGGTAACATAGTTTTTTTGGTTCTGTTTATTTGATGTTATTTTGGTGCTCGAGATGGAACCCAGAGTCTCATACAATGCTACACTCTGCCACTGAGCCATGTTCTCAGCCTCAATGCATTTGTTCACTAGTTATATTTAACCCTCACTCAGTGTATATTTACTTCAAAACACATTATACACAATAAATACATACAATGTGGCCTGTCAATTTTTTTTTAAATTAAAATGCTAGGATGTGCCTTTCCTACTATTTTTTGAGTACTTATTCACTACATCTAAGCTCAGTCCCAGGGCTGTGAAACCATTTCCCTGGATAAGAAATCTTTATAGACAGAAGAACTTCTCTGGGCTCATTGGTAAATCATTGTTGGACAAGCCACCACCATTATTTGAAGGCCAATGTGTGATACATATAAATTGTGTTGTTAAAATAAGAACATCACACAAGAAGAATGTCTTCCCAGCTGTTATAATTCCTCATATGTCATCTCTTTAAGTCCTTATTACATTATTATAAGAAAAACACTACTATGACTTGGTGACCTAAAGCTAGCTGTCCTTGGTTGCAAATCCATTGTGCAGTACAAAACATGACCCTGTTCTCAAGGTCATGATCCACTCATTAGCAGACAAATCCAGAGGCTTAGATCAGTCTCAGGTTCAACCTCGTTGACAACACGACCCATGGTATTATTATGTCCCTGTCTGTGACGTTAGCAGGTGCTGATGCTAGATGCCTACCATCATTAAACTGCTGTTTTAAAATAGTGATATTCTAATTCTATAAATTCTTTTCCATGAGTTAGTTGTAACATTTTGATAAAGAGACTTTATGTCTCATCTACTATTATTTCTACCCAGGGGTAAAATTCATACAAGAAACTTAGAACAAATGGTTGTTTTTTTCCCTCTCTTGTTTGCCAATTTCATTGATTTTCATCCTCCAAAGCTCAGATTAATTCAATAAATTCCTAGAAGCATAATTGTTGAATTGCGTAGTTAAGATTATGTTTTGTTTTATAAATGCCAAACTGCTCCCAAATTAGGTGTCATTGCATTTCCACCAGCAATGAATGAAAATTAGTTTGCTCTGCATCCTTGGTAGAAATTGAACTATTTTTTTAATTTTATCTATTCTTTTTTTAAAAAATATATCTTTATTTATTATTATGTGATGCTGAGGTTTGAACCCAGTGCTTCACATGTGGTAGACAAGTGCTCTACCACTGAGCTACAATTCCAGCCCTGATTTTAGCTCTTCTGATAAGTATATAGTCACTGGTAATTTAATTTACAATCCCTTCTGGCCAATGCTGTTGGACATCTCAATATATGATTAGGTACCATCTCCACAACTTCTTTGGTGGGATGTGTATTCAGGTATGTTGCTCATGTTTACAGGGGGTTGTTTATTTTCTTGTGGCATTATTATTTCCTTGTATAATTTGTCAGACATGGTTTTGCAATATTTTCTTTCCATCTTGCAAGGGGTCAAGGTTCAGTGGACTTTTGATTCTTTAAACAGCATCATTTATGATTTTGGTATTATATTTTAAATTTTGCTACCAAACCAAAGTCACTTAGATTGTCTCCTATATTTTCTTCTAGAATTTTCTAATTGTGTGTTTCTTGTAATGCATTGAAGTAATTTTTTTTTGTGTGAAAAGTGTAGGGTCCGTGTTAGGTTTGTGTTCTACATAAAACACCCAATTATTCTAGCAGTTTGTTGAATTGCCGTAGCTTTGTCAAGGTAAGTTGGCTGTTTTATGTGGATCCATTTCTGCACTCTCTATTCTGTTTTGCAGTATGTGTTTCCTTCTGTAGGTATTTTACTATGCTCTTTACTGTAGCTTTATATTAAGTCCTAAAATCTGGGAACCTGTGTCCTCCTACTTTGCTCTTCTTATTGTTGTGTTGACCACTCTAGCTCATTCAGGTTCCCATGTACATTTTAGTTCCATTTGTTAATATCCATAAAATAGTTGCTGATTCATTAGTTATATTTTAAGTTGGTATTGCATTGAATTTATGTATCCATTTAGAAAAAATTATCTTCACCACATTGAGTCTACCAACCTACAAGCTTAAAATATATCTTCTTAGATTGTTTTATTGGAATTTCATTTTATAGTTTTCCTTGTATACACCACATACAAATTTTGTTAGATTTGTACTTGAATATTTCATTTTTGGTGCCATCGTTAAATTTAAAAAATAATTCACTTCCAATTGTTCTTTGCTGGTACAAAGGAGAGCCATTGACTTTGCATGTTACTCTGTATCATGCGATCCTTCTGTACTCACTGGTTCCAGAAATTTTGTGGGGGTATTTTTATTTATTTGGGGGGAAACTCCTACATCACTATCAGCGTGTCTGTGATCAAAGGCAATTTTCTTTCTTCCTTCCCAATCTCTATTCCTTTTCTTGTCTTATTGAACCAGGTAAGCTTTTCTGCACAATGTTGAATAGGACTGGTGAAAAGCAACCTTCTTACCTGATTGCCAACCCGAGGAAGAAAGCATACTCAGGTTTTCACCAGTGAGTCTAAATATTAGCTGTAGCTTTTACCTGCGTAGTTTTTATTATCAAATTGGATCAGCTCTCTACTATTCCTGGTTTTGCTCAGATGCTTTGTTGACCCAGAACGTTGGGAGCAAGGTCCACTGGATGAGCTGGAACAGTGACCACGAAAGGGTCAAGGTTCATGTATTAGGAGGCAGAGCCTTGACCACCCACATAAAGGGTGGTCCTTGTGAATGCCAACTGCTGCAACTTTCCTCTAGTTAAAATTCAACTAGGACACCTCAGGAAAGACCAGAAGACCAAGTATTCAGAGAATTCATTTCAGCAAATCATCCTTCAGCAAATCAAGCTTCAAAATCAAACCAAGTGAGAGAAAGGGACTAAAGAGGTGAGCAGCCCACTTTCAGTAGGCTTCTTCCCACGCTGTCTGAATGCCTCAGCAAAGAGGAGGAGCTCTCTCCAGGAGAGCTGCCGGTAAGTGCACTCACCACTCCTAATTATGATAACGAGATATTACAATTCATTACTGCTTTGCATTGCCCAATCTCTTGCTTTCCATGCAAAAATTATTTTTTCACTGAATTAAATCTGGGAGATCAAATGCCCATAACTCTGTCAAAGGTGCAGGTTTTCTTTCTGCCTTAGCCCTGGTGAAAATGGGTAAGAATGAAACTCATTATTTAATTAACTCTCAAATTAATATGGAGGAATTATGTCAGGCCCATGATGAAACCATCCTATATGCATGGTTTTGGAATATATGTTCAACTTTCATACTTGATGCTCATACTCAAAACCAGAAGCATAGTGCTCAGGCAGCACTTGGAAAACGGTTTACCTTTCTCTATTTTCATCAGTTCTGCCCAGATTTCTCATCTCTGTCCAGCTGAGTGTTCCTGTGCCTCATCCTGCGTGGGATGGTTTGTTTGTTTATTTCTCCATTAAATAATTGCCACGTCTCCCTCACACACATCTTATCACCACCTTGCACCTGTTCTCTCTTTTACTGCCCTCATTATTTTACTGACTGTGATAAGATATTACAGTTCATTATTCATTACATTTATTTACCGTCACAATGATCCCTTCCACCCCATGATTTGGACCAAAGCAAGTCACATAAGTAACCTCCAAGTTGATGGACAGGGAAGGACTCTGATCAAGATGAGGCTATGGAATGGGTGTGGATGGAAGGAAGGGTGGAGAACTGCAGTCAAGAATTCCCTCTGCCACAGAGAATTAGCAGGCTCTGGCAGGACAGCACCCAAATGAAAATGCCCTCTACTGTTTAATTAATCAGTAGAGACAATACAGAAGTAAATAAATGCATATTCTTTCAAAGATGTCGGGGAAGTTTTCTTAGAATGAGTGACATTGAAACAGGATTCGACAAAATAAAAACTTTTTTTTTTTTGATCAGGGAGCTGTGAAGTCAAGGTGTAGGGGAGGTATACAGATAATTCTCTTCAGTAGTGTTTCCAGAAACCCTAAAGCCTAAGTAAGAGAACCCTATATATCTTATCATTATGGTCAATATCAGTTATTAAAACGTGACAGCCAGAAATGATTTCCTGACTAACAGAAGCACGAATTGGAACAATCAACATTGGATTTCTATAGGAAAGATCAGGCTTGTCTGTGCGCCATCTAGAGGGCATCTGGAGAGGGTGCGGCAGCCTAGGATGATGCCCCACATTGATGTCATAGGAAGGAGCACATGGGATTGGGAGAGCTTGTGTCTCTGACAGTATCAGGAACACAGTCTCTCAAGAACAATGGCATTTTCCTCCAATCTGTGTGAACTTTTCCCTGTAATCCTCTGCTCTAGGCGTCTGGATTTTGGTCATGGCCCTCACATCAGCCCTGGCTGATTTGAACAATAAAGGAAACTCTGAACCCTGTGAACCTCAAGGTCCCCCAGGCCCTCCAGGCATCCCAGGCTTTCCAGGCCCTGTAGGACCACCTGGTCTAAGAGGTGAGCTTATTTCCCTGTGACTCCCTTCCCCTTTGGTTGTAGTGTTTGTAGACCCATATGAGTTCCCCAGTGAGGCTGGCAATCAATACTGTTGAAGCAGGTGTTTCTTTTCAATGACTCTCGGCTGTTCCTCAACTCTTGATTGTCCATCAGAATGTCAAAACCTCAGCCTGTAGTTACGGAATCAGAAGTTCGGGAATAGATGCAAATAGTCTAAGTGCTTCAGAGGTTCCTCCCAGGATATTTGATGTACCACTGGGTCAGAGACCCCGACCATAGCTCCGGTTGGTCTCCACACATGACATGGTAGGGTATTTTGGTTTGCTTTTTCTTTGTCATGACCAAAGACCCCCACAAGAACAATTTAGATGAAGAAAATTTTATTTCAGCTCATGGTTTCAAAGGTCTCAGTCCTTAGATGTCCATCTCCTTAGCTCTGAACCTGAAGGAAGGCAGAATATCAAGATGAAGGATGCGGCAGAGGATAGCAGCATAGGGCATGGCAACAGGAAGGAGAGAGAGAGAGAGAGAGAGAGAGAGAGAGAGAGAGAGAGAGAGAGAGAGAGCGCTCTGCTCTCCAGGGACAAAATATAAATTCCAAAGTCATACCCGCAGTGTGACTACCACCTCCAGCCACCTACCTGCCTACTGTTACAGCCCAGTGATCCATGTCACTGGATTAATGCACTGATTGGGTTAAGCCTCTCATAACCCAATCATTTAATCTCTAAACTTCCTTGCATTGTCTCACACATGAGCTCTGGGGAGGCCACCTCATATCTTAAGCATAACAAAGGATCAAGAACAAAAGCATGCATTAGCTGGATGCAGTGGTGCACACCTGTAATCCCAGCAGCTTGGGAGGATGAGGCAGGAGGATCACAAGTTCAAAGCCAGCCTCAGCAATTTAGCAAGACCCTATCTCAAAATAAAATATAAAAAGGTCTGGGGGTATTGCTCAGTGGTTAAATGCCCTGGGTTCATTCCTGGTAACCCACCAAAATGCATTAAGTTCGCTCGGTATATAAAAACTTGGAAGAAGTGCGAGGAGCCTGCATTCACCCTAAGCCTCGCCGTTCTGCTGAAAAGCAAGTCGGGCAGGAAGAGGTTGCTTGCACTTTAAAAAGTCCAAGCTAGGGACTCTACTTGCAGATTGCCATTTATAGTAGGTTAAAATTTCTGCTTTGTAAGGGAAAAATCAGGCAAATATAGACATTGTGAAGATTTCAATCAGCTACACAGTCGACTCCGTAACAAGAGGTGCTTGCCAGCTAGAGAACTGTGATGGTGAAGCTGGAGCTTAGTGAGAATTCACAAACCCACGTTGTAGCGCTGAGCTGAGAACCAGTGTGCATCACTAGTTAGCTTTTAAGCTGGAATTGACAAAATGAAATAAATTCCAAATTAAGATCAAATTGATTCCCGTGGTAGAAAAAAAAATCTTACAATTGCACACATGCGCGCACACACACACACACACACGGGTGCATGCAGCCACAACACCTGCATGCAATCATGACATGAAAAATAACTCACTGTAAGCATTTAAAGGCAAAATCTACATTGCTAACTTAGAAGGAATGGTATCAGATTGGGCCCAATAAATTTACAGAGTGTATCGTAGAAAACATGCATGTATGCACTTTGTTTATCAATTTTAAGTTCAATCATGTGTTGAGGGAAATAACTTTACATTCTTTTTTTTAAATCGGGACTGAAAGGGGCACTTCACCACTGAGCTACATCCCCAGTCCTTTTTATTTTTTTTTATTTTGAGACAGGTCTCACTAAATTGCTGAGGGTCTTGATAAGTTGCCAAGGCTGTCCTTGAACTTGTGATCCTCCTGCCTCAGCTTCCTGAGTTACTAGAATTGCAGGCATGTACCACAGCACCCAGTCATAACTATATACTCTTACAAAATACTATTGATTGCTTAATTGATTGCAATCACATAATTAACTTGATAAACCAAGATAACTTGGAACAATTAGCTTTAAAAAACCCTTTGAATAACACTCTTATGGACAAACTCTTACAAATATTGTTATTGTAATGCTCATTGTGGCTGCACATATTTTACATTAGAGTCATAATGATTCCTAAAACATCAGAGGCAGGATGGGGCATGGAAAAACCAATTGTTTGGGATTCAGGAGATTTCCATTTGTCTCTGAGCACTATCTCTGAAAACTGAACAACTTGAGGGACAAGTTGACCCTTGGGACAGCAGTTTGTGTCGGACTGGCTCATGTACATCACTAACCGTGCAGGTATCCACAGATAGAGATGTACAAGAAACCGTATATTCATCAGTGAGGTTTGGGAGTCACCCAGCACTATGGCATTCCTGAGTTTCTGTGCCACTGACCTGTGGCTTTTAACCATGGCACAGTATAATTTCTTCTCTGCATCAATTCCCAAAGAAAGTGATTTTTAGTTATAAGGTTTGTAGTAAAGAAAATATGTGCTTCTGCCTGAAAGATATGTTAGATATAATTCAAATATTTATTCCTTCAGAAAACATATCTTGAGTGTTACCTACAAGCTGGATATTTTAATAAGGTACAGCCCTAGTGCAGGCACAGGAATTGAGGAGGGATTGCAATTCAGTGTGGTAAGGCCATGATCAATATAAACACAGGGTGTCACTGCTCTAGAGCGCGGAGGACAGGACGTTTCTAAATCTGTGGTAGGAGAGAAAACTTCCAGTTAAGGGTTTAAGTTCAATCTTAAGGATAAGTAGGATGGAACGAAAATTGGTGGATGGGAGACAGAGAAATATATTGATCATCAAGGGCACAAGTTCAAAACTGCTTTTTCCCCTCTATCTGCATGTCTTGGACTACAGGACTTCCGGGTTTACCAGGAATGCATGGATTACAAGGTCCTCCTGGAGACGTTGAGAAGTGTCCATCGCCACCAAAATCTGCCTTTGCTGTGAAGCTGAGTGAGCGTCCCCCAGAGCTCTTCCAGCCCATTGTATTCAAAGAGTCTCTGTACAATCAGGAAGGCCACTATAACATGACCACAGGACAGTTCAGCTGCACCAACCCTGGTGTGTACAATTTTGGCTTTGACATCGGACTGTTTCAGAGTTCTGTGAAGATAAGTCTCATGAGGAATGGTATCCAGATCAGAGAGAAACAAGCCCAAGCCAGTGATGGGTACAGATATGCAACGGGGACTGTCATTGTGGCCCTGGAGAAGGGGGACAAAGTCTGGCTGGAATCCAAGCTGAGTGGAACAGAATCTGAAAAAGGAATCACTCAGATGGTGTTCTTTGGGTATTTGCTTTATAGAAATTAAGTTGGCTTGAGCTCCTCCATCCCTCTCATCACCCCATTTCACACACTGCTCATCATGGAATGAGGGAGAGTCTATAAAAACTCAAAAGTTCTCAGTTGAAAAAATAAAATTTAACACGCATCCAAGAAATGTGGAAATGATAAATATAGTTTGCAAATAGCATGATCCCCACCACTGTAGCAGACCCTGATGAGGTGGGGGGGTCTTTCAAGAAGTCAGAGAAAAGGATGTAGGAGCCCAGTGAATGGATTACGGGGAAGAAGTTCCCACTGAATCTTCCAGAAACAAGAGCCTTGCTCTGTCCCAGCTCCTGGCTCGCCCCAGGTTTACTAAGGATTGGCCAGTGAAATGAGTTTCCTTGCAGACCTGGGAAAGTCCTTTGAACTCTAATGAAAATGTGAATGCTTAACATCAGTTCCTTCCCTGGGAGGATATTTTGATGGATGGATGGGAAGAGGACTGCGAGTATGGTTAGAGGAGGGTGTGTGCCATTGCTTACTGTCAAGGACTGGATTGTGCACCCCCCCTCCAAATCCCTGTGCAGAAGCCCCAGCCCCTAAGGCTAACTCTATCTGGATGTAAGGTCTCGGGAAGATTAAGGTTAAATGAGGTCATAAGAACGAGGCCCTGTGTTAGTCAGCTTTTCATTATCGTGATCTAAACACCCAACAAGAACAACTCGGAGGGGCTGGGGATGTGGCTCAAGCGGTAGCGCGCTCGCCTGGCATGCGTGCGGCCCGGGTTCGATCCTCAGCACCACATACAAACAAAGATATTGTGTCTGCCGAGAACTAAAAAATAAAAAATAAAATCCTCTCTCTCTCTCTTAAAAAAAAAGAAAAGAACAACTCGGAGGAGGGATGATTTATCTTGGCTTGTGGTTTCAGAGGATTTAGTCCGTGGTTACTGACTCTGAGGCAGACACATCATGGAAGAACATAGAGCAGAGAAAACGGTCAGCTCATGGCAGCTGGGAAACAGAGAGAGAAAGAAAGGGACTGGGAAGATGATAAACCCTGCAAGGGGACCCCTAGCCCCACCACCCCAGTGATCTACTTCCTCAACTAGACCCCACCTCCCCGTAGTCCATTCAGCTGTCCGTGTTGGCCGATGACATCAGAGTTCTCACCACCCCGTCATTGTCTAAAGGCCCCAGCTCTGGACCTTGCTGTGTTCAAGGCCAGGCTTCCAGTGCATGAGCTTTATGGGGACATGCCAGATTCAAAGTGACAGTGGCCTTATAAAAAGAAGACTTGGGCGGACACAACAAGAAGGAAGCCATCATCAAGACAGGAGGAAAGACTTCCCCAAGAACCAAATTGATCAGCGCCTGAATCTTGGGCTTCCCAGCCTCCAAAATGATAATAAATTTCTGTTGTGTCAACCACCCAGTTGATATGGTATTTTGTGATGGCCATAGCCAACCAACACAGCCTTCAAACCTTGCCAATGATGTAGCTGGTTTCCATTTTACCATTATTCCTTGCTTTTTTACTGAGACCACTTCAACTTAGTCTGGGGTAGCATTGAACCCAATTAAAATACCCAGCCCCCCACCTCAGCCCCATTCTCCCTGGGGACAGGGGCAGCCATGTGGCACCCTGCTGACAACAAAGGCTATTGGGAAGTCTCATCCATGGGGACTCAGTTGGGCTGATTCTTTGACTCTCAGCTTTGTCCTTTGTCCTTCCCTGGTGCCACAGGAGTGGCACCAATCATGTCTTGATCATGAGAACTAAAGCCCAATGCTGAAGAGCTTTATTTTTAAACCATGAAACATGAAAGCCGCTCATAAATATCAGTACAATATAAAGAATAAAATTAACATCTGTTTATCTAACATTCAGATCAATTAGCTGAAATTTCATTATATACCCAAAGTATCTTATGTCCCCCGCCTGAAAGATGATTGGGCATGAACACAGAGACAACTTGGCTTTTTAATGACCTCTTTGAACAGCTGTTCCAGCCCTGGATTTCCACCTTCAGACATGATTTTGGTTAGTTTTCCACTATTATGGAAAAATGCTGGAGCTAATTGCCTTAAAAGGAACAAAAGGATTTTTTTTTTTTTTTTTGGCTCATGGTTTCAGAGGTTCAGTCCACAGTTGGGTGGCTCTGGGCCTGAGGCAGAACATAATGGTGGGCAACACAAGGTGGACCAAAGCCACTTCCTTTTTGGTGGCCAGGAAACAAAGAGACAGGGAGGGACCAGAGTTCCATATCCCCTTCTAAGGCACAGCCCCATGGCCTCACCCTTTCCATATTCATAGGCCCCATATTCTGAAGGCTTCACACCTCCCAATAGCACCGCAGGCTGGCAACCAAACATTTAGTACATTGGCTTGTTCTCCCCTGCTCTCCAAGGCTCATGTCCATCTCATAATGAAAAATGTATTTAATCCAAACCTTAACCATTCCAGCAATGCTCCCAGGTCCATATCTGAATTCTTCTCTGAGTCTCAAAGCAAACTCTTAGCTGTGAGCCTCTGTGAAAATCACATTTATCTAATATTCAAACAGCAGGTTATATACTTCCAGATACAATGGTATATTCCCACTTCAAGTGGGAATAATAGGAAAATAACGAGGAACTGGATCAAAGCAAGATTGTAAGCCAGCAGGTCAAACATTAAATTCTGTAGTCCCCTATCCAGCATGGGGTGGGGGGTGGGTACCTGATGGCAGGATGTGGGCCCAGGGAATGAACAGCTCCCTATGGTTTTGATGTAACTCTTCCCATTTTTTACTTATTTATTGCTTTTATGCAGTGCTGAGGATCGAACCCAGCGCCTCACACGTGCTAGATGAGTGCTCTACCACTGAGCCACGGCCCCAGCCCCAACCTCACAACTCTTACGTTCAACGTATCTGCAAATCCAGCACCACACGCATGACCCCAGGCGCCCACCCGTGAGAGCTGAGCCGCAGCCTGTGTGGACCATGGCTGTAGCTGACTGTGAGTGCCTTTCTGCCTGTAGCTGGGACATGAATCTCAGGGAAACAACTCTCCAGGTGGCCCTGGGGCAGCACAGTTCTTTGGGGCTCTCTTCCCCAAAGAAACTCTGTGAAACAAGTTGACACCTTTCTACTTTTGAAGCTGGGATGGGTAAGGTCCTGCTGATTCCTGAGGGCCTTCGAGGCGTCTTTCTTACTGTCCTGGTGTAAAGTACTTGGCTTCTTTTAATGGTGCCAATCCCTTTAGCAACTGCACCCTCCTTGGCAGCACCTTTAATTGTGCTCCTTTTTCAGCCAACTGCAGATTTTCCAAAATTTTTCACTCTGTTTCTTTTTGCTCCTGATTTTCATAATAAATTTGGCTGAAATCATCCAGTCATACCCATGCTGCTGCTAAATGCTCTGCTGCCTTGAAATTTCCTCTGCCAGACAGACAGTCCTCCCACATAGTAACAGGGCATGGGTGTAATGCAGCCAAATTCTTTTAAACAGTATAAAAATGACAGCATGGTGTCCGATTCCCAGTGGCATCCTTATTACCATCTGAAACCTCATGAACAGAATTTTTACTGTCTGCATTTCTATCAGCATCTGGTCTTCTGATCTCTCACCAGAATTTCCCATTAAGTCCTATTTATAACATTCTAGGTTTTCTCTAGTCTGCTCTTCCAGATTTTTCAAAACTCCTCCCACATAACTAGTTCCAAAGGCTCCTCCACACACTTCAGGCATCATCACAGCAACAACCCACTTCTTGGTGCCAATTTTCTGTGTTAGTCAGCTTTCCGTTACTGTAACAAAATACCTGAGATAATCAACTTAAAAGAGAAAAGTTTTGGGGGGCTTACAGTTTTGGAGGCTTTAGTCCATAGTTAGTTAGTTGACCTATTGTTTTGGGACTATGTTGAGGCAGTGCATCATGGTAGGAGTACATGGTGGAGCAGAGCTGCTTACCTCACGGCGGCTGAGAAGCAAGGAGGGAGACAGAGGAGAAGCCAGGGTCCCAATACCTTCTTCAAGGGCACACTTGAAATTGCCTAACTATTCCACTACGACACACCCCCTAAGTGTTTCACCACCTACCTCAGCACCTTGAATTGGGACTAAGCCTCCCACACATAGACTTTTGGGGGACATTGAAAATCCAAACAATACCAGTCTCCCTGAGAAATAACCTTGCAACACTGCCAAAAGTTTATACAGTTAATATCTCTCCCGTCATTTCAAAGGAATCTGTGGCCTTTTAACAATATGATTATGCTCTCCAAAAGGGAAGTAATCAGACTGTTTTAGTGGATTACTTAACACTCTCTCTAAACCGGCACTAATTCCAGGATGCCCAGAATATCACTGTGGTCCCCCCAGTCAAAGTCAGAACTTATGGAGACCAGATAATCAAGTTTAAGCCCAGGTCCTATTTAAAGTGGGTCCAATGGAGTCCCAATCCAATCATGCAATTATTTCCTAAGTTCTGGAAAGCACAATTGGAATAAACATATGAGAAAATTGTAGGATCCCTATATTGGTTCCCTGACCTATGAATCATGGGCCTCTATTGTAGGAAAGGTGAAAAGGAAGCCATTACAACTGCTTGTACCTAGGAAAATAGTAAACCAAAGGCAATACAACACTCCTGGGAAGAATTTAAGGGCATAGTGCCACCTTCAAGAACTTGAAAGATGCAGAAGGGTTGCTTCCCACCACATCCCATTCAAATATCTATTTGACCTGTGCAGAAGAAAGATGGATCTTAGAGAGTGACAATGGATTATTGCAAGTTACCCAGGTGGCGACTCCCATCACAGCTATTATATTAGATGTGGCTTCATTCTTGGGCACATGAACCCATCTTCTGGTATTGATCTGGACGATGACTTGTTCTTCATCCCTGCGGGGCCTACTAGAAGCAGTTTGCCTTCAGCTGGTGAGGACAGCTCACTCCCTCTCCTACCTCAGGGGTACGTGAACTCTCAGGCCCTACGTCATAGTTCAGTTCACAGATATTTTAATCATCTTTTCCCATAAGCTATGGCCCTGGCCCATTATACTGATGGCTGTACTTATTCACTTTGGCTGCCATAACAAAAATAGCACAGACTTGTTAACCTGTTAATGCCACAGAAATTTGTTTTCTCACTGTCCTGGAGGCTAAAAGTCCATGATCAAGGTGCAAATAAATTTGTTTCTGATGAGGGTTCTCTTCCTGTTTCCAGATGGCTGCCTTCTCTGTCCTCACATGACTTTTCTTCAGTGTGTTCATACAAAGACAGGGAGTAATAGCTTGTTTTTTTCTTATAAATACATTAATTCCATGAGATAGAGCCCCATAATATGACATCATTTAATCTGAATTACTTCTATAAAGTCCTTATCTCCAAATAAAGTCACACTGGGACTTAGGGCTTTAACATAGGAATTATAGGTAGGAGAGAGGAACATAACCTTCATCCCAAACAAGGACATTATGCCAATTGGGTCTAGTGAGCAAGAAGTGGGAATAACCCTATTTATTGATAAGATATTTGTGCTCCAAAGGGTGGGAAATAAATACAACAGAAATCCTTGGCCTTCTACCTCAATGGGATTTCCAAGAGTCCATTGGTATGGGACCTCACGAGATATTCACACATGTGTCCCTCCTATAACCAACAAGAAGGTACAACATCTAGGAGGCCTCTCTAGATTTTGGAGGCAACACATTCCTTATTTGGACCATTTATTGTGTGACTGGATAAGTGGTTATGAGCTGAGCCCTCAACAAGAGAAGGCTCCCATTTTACTCAGCTTCATGCTACTGTGACTAAATGATGTGACCAGCACAACTACAGAGGAGAAAAGTTTATTGAGGGCTTCTGGTTTCAGAGGTCTCATCCATAGAAAGCTGGCTCTATTCCTCAGGGCTCAAGTTGAGAGAACATTATGACAGAGGAGTTGAACCAGCTCACATGTTGATCAGGAAGTAGACAGAGAGAGAGGCTCCACTCACCAGATAAAAATATATACCCCAAAGCCATGCCCCAATTCCCACCTCCTCCAGCCACACCCTACTACTTCAGTACCACTTAGTTAATCCCTATCAGGGGATGAATTCACTGATTGGGTTAAGACTCTCACAACCCAATAATTTCTCCTCTGAACCTTCTTGCATTGTCTCACTTGTGAGCTTTTGGGGGACATCTCACATCTAAACCATAACAGCTTCACAACAGGTTCAGGGTGCCCTGCAAGCTTCTCTGTCACTTGGGCCATATGACTTATCTGATACAGTAGTTCCTGGGGTTACAGGGACAGACACAGCAGGTAAAGGATCACAACTAGATGAGGTCTTGCCAAGGACAAAGAAAATATGGAACAGGTAGTGAAAAGAGATAGTTACAAAAACCAGCAATTACCACAAGACCAGTTGCAAAAATGACACCTATAATACTT